CTTGGCTTATTGTCAATCATGGACTAGGTTAAGTTAGGTCAAATTGTAATCAAAACCAGCAAAACCCAAAAAAGAGAAAAAAATTTGTGATACTTTTTCATTTACCATCACAATTAAACCAAATCATAATCATCTACAACTTTATTCATAACCACGAACTTGCCCGTTATTACAATACTCGTCATCTTTTAATCATCAAACCATTCAAATTACCAATGATTAAATCAAACTCAACCTTTACATCTTTTGAAATACTGTCGAGTACCCGGTTAAAGCAATTTTTTAGAGACCCATTTAAAGCAATTTTCACAGTCGCCATCTATGATTTTTTGATAATTTACATTGTTTTCATAATTTATATAATCCTTTCATTACCTAAATCTTAAACGCTGAAAGCCATTATCACTAGATGGAGACTGAGAAACACAAGTTGCTTTAACCGGGTACTCGACAGTATTAATGTACAATGTGCTTAACACCAATGAATTCAACTTTGAACAATGAACAGATCTTTTGGCAAAATTAAAATATGTTTAACCTTTTATTCAATTTAAACTAATTAAGTGATTAAGTGTTTAATTTAATGAAACATGAGCACAAATGATCGCTAAATTGTTGTTACTAAATAAAATTAAAACCAACATTTTGTCAGCTTTATTATTCTCATTGAAATAGACTCAAATTGAAAATAAAGAAACCAGAAAATGAAATTCTTAAGCCTAAATTGATACAACCAATGTCAAAATCAAAATCAATTTTCTCATGGAACGTTCAAATCTGCTCAACTTGGATCAGATCTGATCAAATACATCGTATTATTGTTTAATGTTTTATATGAAATGGTTAACCTGGGATTATTCAATGGATAATATTTGTGCTCTCATAACACTGTCAGGTTAGACACAACTCCAACAATATCTTTAGACAAATTTTTGACAATTTTTCTTAGCCATTAGCGATTTCTGGTTCCTATGGCTCAACTTTTGGTGGATCTCAAAACTTATCTGGCTCTCAACCCTCAAGAAGTTACTTGTTGCAAAATTATTCCTGAGATTCATAGATTTTTATGAATTGTTTTTTGTTGAATTTCATCGTGTTTCAGTTTTGCCTGCCTTTGATTGACAGCCTTTACAAAACCATTTGTCCATTTAAATAGATAGCTTGATGATATCAATTATAAATCATTACAATTAGTCTTGAAGAATTGTGAGAGTTTGTAGTTTAACAATCAATTGATAATGTGTTAACGTGACATTTCACTTGTTCACTGATGAGACTCTGTTCAATATTGAAACTTGCCTTCAGGATGTAAAAATTATCTAATATAAATCACAATTAGATACTAATTTACCGTAAGTGTGTAAAACATAAAATTACGTAAATTAATATCAATTTAAGTTTGATTATTCATGGAAAGAGTCAAATGTAAATTTTCATTTCGCAACAATATAACAATTAACTACTCATCACTTGAAATAAAATTACAAACAAATGAATTATTCAGACTTTTTATTGGCAACATGCAGTTGTTGAGCTCGAGTCACCATGCAACAACGGAAAGCATAATTTGATAAAAAGCACATTGAATAAGCGAGTAAATTAAAAGTGAAATTTCAAATTGTAATTAAGGTTGAATATCAGTTAAAAGTTGAAGCCACAGCTAAATCACATAAATCAAGGAAATCAAAATAGCCCTTGGAAAACACATGATTGGGTTGAACCAGAAATTATTACCAGAAATTTCAAGGTTTACATGTTTTACTTTAAATTGTATCCTGACATTAATTATGTAACAATTAAACAATTTAAGGCTTAACATCCAAATAATTAACTCTCGAACTAGATGAAGAGCAGATTCTACTTTTGATAAAACAGCGATTTTTCAATCCAATCTTGGATTACATTTTATGCAAAAACTGGTTTGATTGTTTTTCACATGATCATCCTAAGTTCAGTCTAAACTCATTAACCCGGAATTGGTTTTTCTGTCAGCTGAATCATCATTATCATCAAACATACACTAATATTAAAACTGATTGTTTCATTGAAGTACAGCTTTAATGGAATTCGTACTCTCAAGCTGAACACAATTAGCTTGATTGCAGAAAGAATAGAGAGAAACAAATAATCAAATTACAATTTAGTTTTGAGATTGGAAGGATTAACAGTGACCAAGGATTGAAGTAGCCTTTACTATTGAAAAAAGACATTGATTTGACTTCATAATTGTGTTATTAGATATTTGATTGTTGTCATTAAACCTGAAGCCTGAGCTTTCAATTTGTTACAAGATTCAATGAAAATAATTAAGATTTATTTACGTGGCTTGCTCACTTCTTGATTAGCATAATTATAATCAAACACAACAGAGATTCACAATTAAACTAAGAGTTTACTCACAATTTAAGTTGACATTAACAATGAAATTGCAGCGATTTGTCCCTCTAACAATTATCATGATTGATCACAGAAGTCTAAAAATTACTGTTTGCCTTTAATATCTATCGTTTATAAATTTAATGGCAACGGTTTCTGAAGCAATCTTTTATAATTATCCAAATTCATATTTATCAATCACTTGAAGGCTTGCGTATTTAAGCTTTTATTTTAATCAATCAATATCAGTTGATTGGTTTATGGTTTTCTCATTTAATGCGATATTTCGTTAAAATATATCATCAACTTACCCCAAGTCCAAGTGGCAACCATTACCCACCAAGAAGGTGTCCAGAACTCAGCAAAGAAACGGTAAATTGAGATTGGCGCTATGTAAAAGAAACCCAGAGCAAGGGAAAGCTCAAAGATAACACTCATCCATTTGATTTCGTAGACAATGAAATTGAAAAAACATCGAAGTCCGTTTCTCTTGTTTTCAGCCGTTGATTCTGATGGTACAGTTGTTTCATTGTTAAATTTTTTCAGATTTTTCTTGATGCTTTAGTAGGACTTGCTTAGTCTATTGACTTGGACCGTCTTTTGTTTCTTTTTATATCGAGTGATTAATAGATGTAGTTTTGTTAGATCTAATTTCAATTGTGTGAATATCTCTTATTTCTGAATCTTCTTGTTTCTTCTGATTTATAATATTAGCAGAAAAGTTGAAATTAAATGGGAAAATTTGTATCTTTCATTTGTCTTGATCGTTCACAATGCACTCCATGTTTACTTGAAGAGCCTTAAGGGATATTGATTTAAGTTTGTTTGAAATTTATCTTATTAATTGAAGGGAAAATTGTTCATTCTTTCGAGTTATCAATATTAACATTTCTTATTCCTTGTTCATGTTTTATCCATTTCAACCTTTCACCTTTGATGCAGTCATTGAAGTTAAACAAGTCTGTCTGACTTTTCATTTTTGCTTTCCTTCAACATTTAAGCAAAAGTAAACAATTTGTACATTTTTCCTTCTCTGATTTTCTTATATACAAATCATATAAATTAATCATAATTGTTACGCTGGTTGATTGCATTATTAGAATCAATTGAGCTTCAGGTAAGTTGAGTAAGTTGTTGAACGATCAAAAAACGTGCAACAATCCTTAAAGTGGTTGATTTACGCGTTGACAATTGATCAAGATGAACAGATATTTAGATTACAAATTACTTTTGCGCTTCCATCTTGCAAGTTGATCAATTTAAAGTACATTCAATTTTAAATTCTAAATCAGTAATTTATTCTCTTCTTCCTTTCAATAGAGATTACGATTGTACGGAGTATTTTGCCTTCTATTGGTAATACAATTGACTAATTGTCAATTAAATGAGGACGATGATGGTGGAGATGGACGCTCATATGAAGGTGATGTTGAAGAGCCTAAAATAAGCAACAACAATGGTAAACCTGAAGCAGCTGTGGATGAAAAAAAGTCTACCGAGGTTAAAGTGAATGAACAAGAAGATTTAAGGCCACGATCACATTTCACCGAAGAACGGTTTACTCAATTGTTTGTACCTCGAAATTCAAGGCGTAAACTTGTTTCAGCTCGCTATACAACAAAGCCCAGGCCAACTTTACCTTCCTTCATTAAAAAACCAATTAGCGTCCCACCTCCTGATTTTGAGACACCAGCGACAAGATTATCAGGCACTCATCAACACGACCAGG